CCGCTCAGCGCTCAGCCCGTCGCCCCCTTCCCGCCTGCAGCCCGGGGATGCGGCCTGCCCAGGGGAAGCGGAGAAACCCGACGAAGGCCGGAGTCAGTGAGGCTCGGGGTCGCACCCGGGCCACCTCACTCCCCTCAAGTGCGGAGATGTTGGCGGTTGGAGAAGGGGCGGGGCCTCAGGGAAGGGGCGGAGTCTGCATACGGACTGGGCGGGGCCAATGCGGTGGGTGGGCGTCGCCTGGGAGTGGGAGGGGCGGGGCCCGGATCCCAGCCTTCACCTGTGGAAGGGTGGAGCACTCCAGGAATCAGATGAAGCGGGCTCAAATTGGGAAGCTGAAACCCCCCAGAAGTTTGAAGCAACTCTCACTGGGACTCCCTAGTTTGACATCTGACCTCAATCTTTAGATAATCTTTTTTGCGATTCAAGCTCTCCAGGTGAAGCGTGGCGAGCGGACAGGGGACCGGGTTTGCTGGTAGACTTCCCCAAACTCCAATGCTCTTCCAATCCTCAGTGCCAGAGCGTGGACTAGAAACAACTCAGCATTGGTGTTTGGGAGTAGTGGTGCCCTCCTGTAACCCCAGCACTCTGGAAGGCTGAACCAGGAGGTTCACAAGTTCAGGGTCAGACACCGTCTCAAAATAAAAAATAAAAAGGCTGGGGATGTCGCTCAACGAGGTTCTGGGTTCAATCCCTGGAACCACAAAAGAAGAAAGTAAGTCAGTTCTCACTGTTGCAGTGTTCCCACCATGTGAACCACTTACAGTATAGTCCAGGCAACTGGCTAATTACAAATGCATGGGACTTGAAGCCATCCTCTTGGTCGTGTCACTGCGATGAGGGGCAGAATTTGGTAATAGTTCCTCAGCACCTGTACCATTTCCACCCGTGGGCAACATTACACAGGAAGTTCTAGTGGTTTCTTCAGGCGAAAATCAGGTAGCCTTTCCGTTGGGTATCTGACATAGCCCTTCCACTAAAGTAGATATTACAGATAATGCCGCCGTTCTGATCACACTGCCTTTGAGCCCTGTTACCCACATGTGCGGGAAGATCTCACTCTCATTATATGGCTGGGACAATCACACCATGAGCATCCCAGCTGAGTTGAGCAAGCCTGAAAAGCCAGCTGGGGCTTCCCAAACCTTAGGGATGTAAAGGTAGCTGCTCTTGGTCGGAGCCCAAGGAAGCATCGTGAGGACCCTGAGCGAGATGTCAGCCGACAAGGGCTGACATTCACTCTCCAGCTTTGGGCACTGACTGAGCAGCGTCATGCCAGGTGTGCTCAGCCACTTGTGCCTGTCCCTAGATGTTCTGATGGCTCTGTCTTGTCTCCAACTCTGGGTGCCTTCCTTGCCCTTCCACCTGCCCCTCAAGAGTGCTCTTGCTTACCCTGCAGTACTTAAGATCCTTCTCATTGGTTGGCTCTGTCCTCTAGCTCCTCCCCACAGAACTGGAGCCCACTGCCAGAACCCCACAAGGCTGCTGGTGGATTCCCAGGGCTTTGCACAAGTGTTCAAGAAATCTGCTGCGGAGATGGAATTCATCATTTGACATGTATTTGCTGAGCACCTACTATATGCTAGGTACTGGGCAAAGGAATAGATGAATGTATGTGCAGATCAGCAGGCTCTACGTGGTCGATTTTCCTTCCAGTCAAGTGCCAAGTGCCCAGGGAGCTATCCACCCTGCCTCTCCGGGTTGATAATCTGATGTATAATCCTCTTTTCTGCAGTTTCACAGAACTCTTCCTGTTCTGTGTAGCAGAGGAGACAGAAACACACACTGTAGTATACAGGGATTAATGTTTTATTAATGATAACCTACATTCACATCATGCATTTCTAAGACTTACATCCAAAGAGAGTACATGGTATTTACATGCCAAGGACAGATTAAGGTAACAAATTCAAATAGTGGCTGCATTAAGTCTATCAATTGTTCCCAATTTAAATACATGATACTCTTACCTCCCCCTTTTGACATGTACAATAAAAACCCACTTTTCTTCCTTTTAAAGAATATAAAATTGCATTGATAACTGCACTGATTAGCAACAATGACATTTGAAACATTTAAAACCTGAGAAAGAAGCCCAAACATGTTTGAGCACTAACATGTCTACACCCAAATTCATGTGTGAACGCATGGTGACAGACTCGTCAGTGGTCACTACTTCATGCTTCTGGTGGCTCAGACAGAGACTGCCGTCAGCTGCGGCCTCTGGCCTGGAAGCTATGCTTGCCCTGGGCAGAGGGGGTGATTTCTCCCCCAACCTGCCTGACTGTGCACTGCAGAAGATTGGCGGGGAGTTGTTACTTTCTATTTTTTTCCTTTTGTTTTGTTCCTTCTTACTTTTAAGAGAAAGAATCTTTGGCCCATTTAGGTGGGATTTTTACAATGCAAAATATACATGAATAAGTACACATTGTTTATTAGCAAGTGCCTGTGTCTCCTCCTGTAGTTCACTCTCACTTTTGTTGCACCACAGCATAGAAACAAGAAGGGAAGCAAAGCCGGCAAAGGCAAAGTGGTCAGAAAAATAAATATGCAGTTTAAAAAATGGACAGCTAAGCTTGTCACAACAGGCCGGAGAGAGGCAGTGGGAATGTCACCCCGTGATCTTCATGTCTACAGTAAATACTGAAGATGATCAGTGCATAATTGCTTTGTGGTCAATCAGGCGCTTCTGATAAAGGCACTCCTATCTACAGACAGGCTGTGTGGACCTAGCACCCATCACCTGTGACACCTGGGTCTGCTGCCCAGAGGACCCAGCCTGCTGTTTCCAGCCACTTTCACCGGCTCTGGAAACAGGAGGAGGTCTTCTCTCTGACCAGGCTGGGTCAGAAGTAAACCCTACTGGTGTCCAGGACCTGTGTCTCCAGGTCTGCCTTGCCCTCCCCAAAGCTCCGCTGCTGTCCCAGTGGTCAGGGTCTCGGTCTCTCCTCACTGTCAGCAGGGCACATGTTCATCTGAGGCACACATAGTATTTTATTCTTCAGCCATGTCTCCAGATAAGGAATATCTAGCCATCATGTCCTCAGCTCCCCTGACACACACCTGATCTCTTCTGTTGTCTAACGACGGCAGAAAGGTGGCCAATGAGGAGAACCCAGCATCACCCAGCCTGTCTCCACCTAGTGGGAGAGACTGGTCTTCTAGGGGAGGGGAGCCATAGCAAACATTTATTTAGGGTTACCCACACCCATCAAACTGAGAAGGGAGCAACAACCCCACCTTCAGTTCCACCCAAAGATGATACAAAATTAACATTTCCTATGCCCCTCCCCTGCCCTACCCTGAGGGCCTTGATCTTTAAGGCACTGGGTTTGAAGACATTGCAGGCTCAGGAACTCAGAGGCTGAGGCGCTGCACTCACAGGCTACCAAACCAAGGACTGGCACCCCCAGAGACAACCCCAAGTATGGCATTTTCAGTTAGCGCACTGTGTGTTAGCTGTAACGGTTACCATAGCCAACAGAAACATTTCTTCTTCATGAGACAGATGTTTACACCACTGTGTCTGAGTACTTGGTCACCTCCCTGGCAGTGTGTCATTTACATTTGCAATGCATGTGAAGCCACAACCCTACTAATTCCTTCATTAACTCAGTAACATTCTAATCCCTTAATAAGTACAAGCAGGTGCAAAGCCTGGTGGGAAAGGTGTGTCCAGGGCCAACCTGGAAGTAGTAGGGTCACACTTCATAGCGTGCTATCGCTCCAGGGAGATAGAAACAACAAGCCCTTTCTGGAAGGAAAACTTCTGACTTTTCTAAAAGCAACTTTCATCCGGAACTACACCCGGGATTAATACCTATTCTTCATTTGGTTTGTTTTCAGAAGAGTCTGGTTCCCTTCGCAGTGGTACCAGGGGAATTACTTTTTGGAGTTCAATGAGAGCCCAAATAAGGCGATGATGTCGCTCATAGCTTGTCTTAGGTGCTTCCCGAAGCGGTGAGAATCCTTTGATTCAAAAACAAAAAGCAATGCACATCAACATGTAGAAACTGCTGTGTTTCAAGCCTTTACAATTCCAATCTGACTTGGGGTTTAATCCATATGCCTTTCTGCCAATTCTCTGAACTGTGATTGAAAGATTAAGAAACATTCTGTAGCCAGGCATGGTGGCACATGCCTGTAATTGCAGCACTCAGGAGGCTGAGGCAGAAGGATTGCCACAAGTTCGAGGCCAGCCTGGGCTATACATAGTGAGTTCAAGGTCAGCCTGCACTACAGAGCAAGACCCTGTTTTAAAACAAGACAAAACAAAACAAAACGTTCTGCAGAAAGCTGAGGGTGAGGAGGTGACAAGTGATGTGCTGTTGAGGGCAAGTTTGACCTGAGGCTTCCCTGGTTGGCATCACTGCTTTCTGTAAAACACAGGAGGGAAGTGAATCCCACCATTCACTCTTAATGAACTTGGCCCATCTGAGGAAGGCATCAGGGAACCTGTTTGACGCTGGCTTCTGCAACACCAGCTCTTACCCACCTGCCCTGTGAAAAATGCCCGTGTTGACCCCCAACCCCCGCAGTGAGCCAACTCTTTAAAGTGTATTGCAAAACCCAGGCCAGCATATATTCTAGAAGGAAAAGAAAAGGAGAAGAAGAGTGGGCAAAATCCCGGGCCTTTTGGACCCTAGTCACTGAACAGGAAAGCCTGATGGGGTGGAGGTCACCCCATTTTCCTTAGAATTACTGGGGCTCCTCGCGACTACTGCTATCTGGACACAGCTGGTGGGGCTTCCGAGTATGGCCCCATGTTCCCTAATGGGGCTACTGCCATTCTCAATGCATCTGACATATCAGGTGTCCTTACCTCCTGGTGTGGCATTTGGTGGCAGCTCTGGAAAATAACCAGCCCCAAGATACAAAAGGGAATCTGAGGCTCTGCAGAAGCTTCAGGCAATTCCCACTGCATTGAAGATCCCCACGGTCAGTGACCACTGGGCCACCAGACAGTGCCACAGGAACATGTAGGGACCTGTGAGAGGCCTGGCCACAGAAGGGTCTGATGTATACAAAGGCTCAAAGGACTGTGATACAGGAGGGTGTCTTTCAGTGTGACAGATTGACAGAGGGACTAAAATTAGTGGGCCAGCAAACGCCAGGTCTCTTACACTACAGGTTAAGTATGTAAATTGATCATTCAAAAATCAGTTTTCTGGGCCGGGAATTTAGCTCAGCAGTTCTGCCGCCTGCCTCGCAAGCACAAGGACCTGATTTCAATCCCCGGTACCGGGGGAAAAAAAAAAAAAAAAAAAATCAGTTTTCTACAGACCAGGCATGGTGATGCACGCCTGTACTCCCAGTACTTAGGAGACTGAGGCAGGAGCATCACTGTGAGTTCAAGGCCAGCCTGAACTGCACAGCCAGACCTTGTCTTAAAAAAAAAAAAAAAAAAAAAAAAATCAGTTTTCTGTCCCAGAAAGAAACATCACCCCTTTAGGGATGCCACAGTTCAGGCTGTGCCAAGACATGCTTGCCAGATTTTGTGGTGACCTTTTTCCTGCACCCGTTACCTACATGCTTCTTTTTTTTGAGACAGGGTCTCACTATGTAGTTGAGACTGACCTGGAACTCACTATGTAGCCTAGGCTGGTCTTGAACTCACAGCGATCCTCCCGTCTCAGCCTCCTGAGTGCTGAGATTACAGGCATGCACCACCATGCCCGGCAAAATGCTTCTTGATAAACTTATCTTTAATGAATTTCCTCTCAATTTCAGTTTTAAAAAAAGTGAACTTGGTACACCACGCAGGCTATGTACGAGGTGAGAAGGAGGATATAAATAAGCAAAGTACACTATACAAGGAAGGAGGTCACTTGTCCCATGCACAAAGGACACCATGGATCCCCTGCTCCACCACGAATATTCCTTGCTCACCTTCCAAAAGTCAGAGGCACATGAAGATTGATTTCAAACCACCACACTCAGCAAAGGCAAGCAGGTCAAGCCAAATGAAATATATTTCTTTACAAAAATGAAGTTAAGAGAGTTTTGAAAATGTCCAAACCAGTACAGGTGGATAACTGAATTGAAAATTTCACATAAATTAACTATGTGCTTCCTTCAAAAGCAAAAACACTCCATCTTCAAAAAAATGAAACTTTCTGGGGCTAGGGATTTAGCTCAGTGGTTCTGCCATCTGCCTCGCAAGTGCAAAACAAGGTCCCGAATCCGATCCCCAGTAACCCTCCCCCCAAAAAGGAAATTTCTTTTCATACGTACTGTCTCGGGGCTGGAGAACTTGGAAGAAATATGGAAGTGGATGAAGTGGTCTCCCACAATGATGTATGACACGCCGTAGCCGTCATCAGCAACCTGCAGAAGCAGAAAGTTTACGTGGGTCATTGGAGGGTGAGCCCATCAGGTCCCCCTGTGAACATGGACAGCAGCCCCGGGCTTCACTTACCGGCCCGAAGCCCCCTCCACCGGACACATAGTTCGGGTACTTCACGAAGTCAAAGAGCTCCACCTGCTGCTGTGGGGTCTGGCTCGTAGACAATCGCCAAGGCTCAGATAAAACCTGGTGAATTGAACAGGAAATGAAGCCAGGCATGGTGTTGCACGCCTATAATGCCGCACTTGGGAAGCTGAGGCGGGAAGATCACAGGTTTGAGCCCAGCCTGGGCATCTTAGCAATATAGTGAGATTCTGTCTCAAAGTAAAACGTGTAGCTCAGAGCGAAGGCCCCGGGTTCAATCCCCAGGATGGCAAAAAATGAAAGAAGAAAGGAAGGAAGACAAGGAAGGAGGGAGAGAGGGAAGGAGATGTTAAAATGACACTTTCCTTGATTCTTCTGCCCTGAGGACCTTGCCTTTGGAAGACAAGAAAAGGCCTGGCTGGTTAAAGGGACACCAGAAGTCTGTGCTCCTGAAGGCCTTGCTGGCTCGGGGCAGTAAAGTTGCAGAAAGGCTGTGGAGCCGGGGAGGGCCCCTGGACTGGGGGCCAAGACACCCAATAGCGTCTCAGACAGACAAGGTGGCCAGGTGTGTTCTGTTATGATTTGGGATGGAGGGAGCATCATCAGACGTGCACCAGCTCCTGGGAACCGACTGCTAAATTTTCAGGGATTTTTTTCAAGCTGGTTACTAAACACAACCACTTTGAAATACTAAATTTTATAAACATGCTATGAAATAAACCATATAACAAAGGTGATTAAAGCCAGGGCACGGCAACACATGCCGAAAAGGCCAACACTTGGGAGACTGAGGCAGGAGAACTGTGAGTTCCAGGTGAGCCTGGGCTACTAGTGAGACCCTGTCTCAAAGGTACAATAACAAAACCAAAAACATACGGTGACAGATACTCAGAACTCCCTTCCTGACTTACTGTCACCTAAGCTTGTGTGGCTATTCACATCTATTAAGTCCAGAGGGTAAATCTGACAGCAAAGCATTGCGAGTCATTGAAGAAACGCACTGCTACAGCTGTAGCTCAAATTTTCCATTTTTGTGACAGCTCTGCCCACAGGCCCACTATTTGTGCCTACTCTGAGGCACTGGGCTCAGCCCCAGAAGATAGCTGACCTCTTTAAGGAAAGGGGACTCCACACCGAGGTACTTGGAGACCACGTAGAGGCAGAAGAGATGGCGGTCGATGCCAGAGCCGGTCATGGCCAGGCGGTACAGGAGCTGATGTTTCTCGCATGCTGCCTTGAACAACTTGAGCTTCTGCTCCACCTAAGGGACAAGGGTCAGGAAGGACATGAGTTGGACAATTCTGCTTGTGTGATATGGATCCATGTTTCTCACAAAGGGCAATGATTGCTTTCCCTCCAGCAGCCCTGACAGAGCACTGGCAATGGGGCCCCATGAGATGTGCCAGGGTGGGCAGCAGACAAGGCATTGTGCCAGGGACCCACCAGCCACCCACCCTGTCCCCAGATTCTTGTCTTCAAAGGGCTGCGGGAGGTGTCTGTCAGCAAAGCATTCTCAGGATCCCCTGTGTCACCCTGTCTGTGACACTGAGCTAATCCCTAAGCATGTAGGATGCAAGTACTCCACGTCAGAGCCGAGGCCCTGTCTCAGGTCATCACGCCACCTTGGATCTGGCCAGTAATCAGGCTAAAATGATGCTCGTGAGCTCAGGCTGCTAGATGGGACGCCTCGGTTTCTTCTGGGTTCTATAGTGGGGCCACATGGTGCCCTTTGCCTGGAAGTCCGGCAAGCTCTGACCCACCAACCAAGCTCTGGCTTTCCAGGCTCCCCATGAAGGCTTCCAATGATGGACGAGCAGAGCCATCTCTCTGACCCCAGCTGGCTTCTTTCCTCAGAACTGAGGATCTGTCCACAATGAAGTTGGCCAGAGAACTGGAGAGCCCTGACCTGGGTCTGCCAGTCTGTCACAGGTAACCACCTATGCTGTGGGGTCAGAACCCCAGCTGCTTTCTAAACAGGGACCCAGCAGGTGGCAGAATGCATCCAGTCTGTGCCTTTATCTAAGAAGGTGAACAGATTGTAAGACTGAACAGATTATAGATTCACAGGACTCCTGGTGGCATCGTGAGAGATAAGGTACAGAAAAGCCTGGTGCACACTGTAGCACCCACATATGCAAGGCTCCCGTGAGATAGCTGCCCTGTTCTCATCCTGACAGCAGCGACTCTTCTGTTCCTCTGCTGCGTCCATCCTAACTGACTCTTGGGCACCCAATCTGATTTTCAGAAGCATAGTGTGTGAGAGAAGGCCTGCAGCATCACCACTTTCCGTTCCCTTGCAAGGGACTCGTATGACACACAGGGCCCCGTTCCCTCAAGAGAGCAAGAGAGCAAGCTTGGCTGAAGGCTCCTACCGTCTGGGTGGGGTCCACCATGGCCAGCACGAAGTTGCAGGACTCCGTGGTGCAGGAGCGCACCGTCTCCGTTCTCCCCTCACGGAACAGCCGGGTCATGGAGGCCTCATACGTGAGGCAGAACTTGCCCATGTCCTGAGAAAGAAAACACATCTTAGCAGCAGGCAGCATGCAGTGAGGGGACCACAAGCACATAGTGTGGTGGCTGAGTCTGCAGAGAGACAGGCCCTCTCCATGAGGTCAGCTGTGCGACAACAGAGGTGTCACTGGCTTTGGGAAGGGCTGGGGGGGATGAGGTCAACTTCTGGGTGACCCAGGTTTCTGTTTCGTTTCAAGATGTAGCTGACGCCAGGACAAAGCACCGCATGTGACTTGACTGAGCTCCCTCTGTGCTGACCTCCCAGCTTCAATTTAGGGGAGGGACACCACATACAAGATCTTCCTGTGACTGCCGGGCGTGGTGGCGCACGGCTGTAATCCCAGCACTCGGGAGGCTGAGGCAGAAGGATCACTGTGAGTTCGAGACCAGCCTTGGGCTACATAATGAGTTCCAGGTCAGCCTCTCAACTACATAGTGAGACCCTGTCTCAAAAAAACAACAACAAATAAAAAGATCTTCCTGTGACAGCCAGGGAGGAGGAGGGACATGAGGTACAGGCAGGAAGTGAGAAAAAGGGAGGGACATGAATAGGTGGGATATCCTTCAGCAGGAAGGCAGGAAGCACTGCCAGTGTCCCCAGTGACAGGCAAGAGCAGCCATGGTGCTCGTGGGTACACATGGCAGGTCCCTTGGGACAGCCTGTTCCCGGGTAAAGAAGAAGAAGGGTGACCTGCTGGGAGCTGGGACAGGGCAAGCACTGGCCACTGCGGGCCTGTGAAGTAGAACTGAGGGGCATGGGAAAGTGGGGCTGCCCCACCCCTGGCTCATTAACTTAGGGCAGAGGCGTCTGCAGCCAGGGCATTTTTCTCCCACTATGCCACAGAGCACAGGGTGGGGTGCCACTAAGATGGAGCCCAGTGTCCTTACTAAAACCTCTCTGCAGCTGATGCGTGACCTCCTGTTAGGGTCTCAGTGCAGAACAATTGCAAAGTTTTCTCACCAGTTCTTTTTTTTTTTTTTTGGTATTGGGGAATCAAACTTAGGACCTTGCACTTTTGAGGTAGGCAGTGGAACCACTGAGCTAAATCCCCAGCCCTCACCAGTTCTTAAATTCAAGTTTATTAATGCTAAGATCCACACTTCAACTCCATTCTGTTAAGTCAAATGTATTAGTCTCCTACAATCACTGTGCTCCATCTAACTGCGTCGGTTTAAGCATTTTGGTGAGGATGCTATTTAGAAAAACTAACCACTACGATTGTTTGTTGTTGTTGCATTGTTAGGGATGGAACACAGGCCTCACATGCCAGGAAAGCACCCACCACTGAGCTATCCAACCAGCCCTAGACTTCATGACCACCACGATCTTACAATGCACTCTGGCTATCTGCTCTGACTCTCTTGTTTAACGTTTCTTTTACTTTCCTGTATTTGCTCATTTTCTTTACAAGAAGTCAAGCTTCCAAGCTCAGACTCTTTCCTGCTCTGTAGCGTCATCTTACTGAGTCACTGGACCTCTCTCACCGGAGGTCCTGTAAAGTAGGAGAACAGAAGTGAACCCTGCTGAGAGACCACAAGGCATGAAGGGTGAAGAGCACTCAGACCAGCAGCTGGCCCTCAGCCAGACTCAGCAATGGCATCACTGTCCCCACAGATGTCAAATGGGCTCAGCCCTCATGCTTTACAAGGAAAGATTCCAGTTAAAAACAGGGCACTGCAGGGCATGGTGGCACACACCTGTAATCCCAGCACTTAGAGGAGGCTGAGACAGGAGGATTGCCATGAGTTCCTGGGCTATACAGTGAATTCAAGACCAGTCTGAACAACATAGCAATGGCATCACTGTCCCCACAGATGTCAAATGGGCTCAGCCCTCATGCTTTACAAGGAAAGATTCCAGTTAAAAACAGGGCACTGCAGCACATGGTGGCACACACCTGTAATCCCAGCACTTAGAGGAGGCTGAGACAGGAGGATTGCCATGAGTTCCTGGGCTATACAGTGAATTCAAGACCAGTCTGAACAACATACCAAGACCTTATCTCAAAAAAAAAAAAAAATACCCCCCAAAATTCCCCCCCACAAAATAAAAACAGCATGTAGCTGGGTGTGGTGATGCACACCTGTAATCCCAGCACTCAGGGAGGCTGCAAGAGGATCTCTCAAGTTAGAGCCCAGCCTGGGCAACTCAGCAAGACCCTGCCTTGAAATAAAAGATAAAAAATGGGGCGAGGATGCAGGTCAGTGCAAAGGCCGTGGAATCAACCCCCAGTACTGGGGAGAAAAGGCACAGCATGAGCTGAAGCCACGACTTGCACCATCCTGGCTGTCAAGGCCCCCTCTGAGATGGACGCTCCTGACAGGGGACAAGAAGCCCCTGTCCCATTCTTCCACAGGGACAGACTGCTTTTGTGAGAAAGGCTGCTGTGTGCAAGCCAACACGTGGGCAGGTGCTGGGAGGAAGGAGGTGGAAATGCAACATATCCTGCATGTCTGCAGGGATCCAGTCCAGCCCAGAGCACCGCCAGGCTCCTCCTGGTAGTTTCCCCTTTCAAAGAAGGTAGAGACGTGAAGCAATTTGCCCTAAATATGTCTACTTTCCCACATTCTAGGATTGGGGCTCCTGATATGGGGTAACTGTCCCCTGTGTAGAGTAATAAGATCTCAATCTGCTCCACCCCACAAACTTCTCTTCTGGGTCCAATAGGATCCCACTGCTGTTCCAAAAGGAACTCCGCTGAACTCACACTTGGTACCTGACTGGAACATCCCAAGCTGCAGTGCCACCTCCATTCTTGGAAGGCTGTGCTTTCTGTGCCAGCAGCCCCTCTCCTGTGCCAGCCTTCAGGCCTCCTCCACTCACTGACAGCCTTGGCACGAGCTGAGGGCCCCAGAAGTACCCCGACGAGACCCTAGTTCTTGGCTCCTACCTTGTAGTGAGCCAGCTGTAGGGCAAGCTGTATGAATGCATCCGGGCTGGTCCGGCACTTCTTGATTAGCCCTTTACCAAAGACGTGGAATGGGAAAGAATGCATGTCCACATTGTTTGCCAGAAGGTTCGCGCTGCTCAGAGAAGTTTCTATCACTTCCCGGCACTGGGGAGAGGAGAGAAAGGTGGTCCTCAGTGGAGGAAGTGTGGACTCTCCAGAAGAAAACATTATCTAGGAGCCACATTCAGCCAGCAACATGGTGCCCCTCCCCACCCCAGAGCAGAGTGGGATCCAATAGTGGGAACACAGAAGGAGTCCTGGTTCCCAGTGAGATCCCAAATGGCATTTCAAACAATCAAGGGTTTGTGTCACGAAGCCCAGTGTCGCTACACAGGAGTGGTCGAACAACAGGTTTTAGAAAGTAAAAGGATACCCATACAGTGGGATACTATTCAACATTAAAAAGGCACTATCCATCCATGGAGATCTGCAGGAAGCTGAAATTCGCGTTGCTGAATGAGTTGCCAGAAAAGGCTCCACACTGCATGATCCCTACTCTGCAACTTCTGGGGAAGGGGAGACTGTGGAGATGGTGAAAAGACCAGCGGGCAGCAGGATCTCGGGAGGGAGGGAGGAGCAGGTGAGCACAGAGGACTTGCAGGGCCGGGAGCTACCCAGCGTGATGGGGATGGTGGATGCAGGCTGTGCCTCGATATATATACGCCACAGGTGGGTCAGTGCAGTCTTGCAGACTGTCACAGTGTGCCACTCTGGTAGGGAAGTTGCTAGCGGGGAAAGGTGCTGGAAGGACAGGAAGTGGAGGCATATGGGAAACCTCTGCACCTTCCTCAGCTCTACTGTGAAATCGATTGCTCTAACAAGGAAAGTCTCCTTTGAAAAATGTCTGTAATGCTCCGTGAGTGCCCCGGCAGCTCTTAAGACCCTGAGCCTGAGCACACAGTGCCAGAGGTCAGCCTGTCCGTGGACCCCAAGGCAGCCCTGGGACTGCCGTACACCAGGACCACATGAAAATGACCTTTTGGGTCCAGGAGTTCCTGCCTGATCACACAAGCTGGACCTGTTTCCTTCCCTGAAGGGCTTCTGCCGAGTGGACCGTGCCTGAGAATCCTTAAGGGAACAATTTGAGAAGATTACAAATTAGCCATGTAGAGTATTTCCACCCTATGAGGTTGGGGTTTTAACTCTTTACTGCAAAGAGTTTAAAGATGTCCACTGTATGTGAGCTGGAACATTGGCACCTTGGCCAAATACAGGAATTATCTACTGGGGCACCTGCAGCAGCCCTGAGTCCTCAGAGAGAGGAAAGAGCTTTCAGACTACAGGCATCACTGGAGCTGGGGACACTGAGGAAGCACTGCTGGAAGACCTGGTGGTGAGTTCAAACTTGCTTCCCTCAGGGGTAAGTCACTGTTAGGGTTTCCATCTAGAATGGCCCTCAAAAGTTTGGAGGTGGCCTTTTGGGAGGTGACTAGGTCATGGGTTCAGAGCTAAACACACTGTTAGGAGGAGGGGCCGCTGGGGGCGTGACCCAGACAGAAGGGTGTATCTCCCTCCCCAGCTTCTCCCTTTTCCATGCTTTCTGGCTGCCAGGACAGGAACAGTTCTCCTCTGCCAGGCTCTTCCACCATGTCTTCCTGCCTTGGAGCCAGCCAACCAGTAAGTGAATTCTCTAAAAACCATAAGTCAAAATAAACCCTCTTCTAAGCTTCAGGTGTCAGGTCTCAGCAATGAGAAAGTGACTCAGATCGTGACAATCACTGAGTCACTGGCACTTACTGCTTCGGGGATGTCCCACTGTAGCCTGGTGGGGTAGGGGATGTTGGGGTTGGTGTTCCCTTTACAGTGTCCATCGTCCTCATAGCCCAGCTGGAACCAGTCGGTGGCCATGATTTCCTGTGAAAAACAGAAGACGCAGATTGAATGGAAAACCCAAACTCAGCTTCTCCACTGTGCTTTCCACACAGAACGCCTCTCGGCTGAACATGAGGGGTTTCCCACATGCCAGGCAGGAATACACTCTGCACGGACACCAGCTGAGTCTCCCTCCCAAAGGCTGCCCTCCACTTCTGGTGCCAGGTGCAAGCCCTTTCTGTGGCCCATGCTGCTGACCAACTGCTACAAACTGGGGTTTCCATAACTCCCTCCTAGGGTTCGATTAATTCCCTAATACATCTCATAGAATTCCAGGAAGCACCAGCTTACAAGTCTGGTTTATTACAATGTTTGTCACAAAGGATACAGACAGAGAGAGGCATGGGGCGAGGGGAAGTATGGTCCCCCAGGTGTGCCACCCTCCAGGCTCTCCCCAGATTCAGGGGTCTGGGAGCTCCCCAAACCCTATCCTTTTGGTTTCTACGGAGGCTTCACGATGGAGCACTACTGATTACATCACCGGCCACTGGTGACCAACTCAACCTTTGGCCCCTCAACCCTCCCTGGAGGTTGGGGTTGGGACTGATAGTTCGAACCCTCTAGTCCTGCCTTGGATTTTCCTGCCACCGGCCCCATTTTGAAGTCACCTGGAGGCTCCAGCACCAGCCAATCATTGGAACGCAAAACACAGTATCACTTTGAGGATTCTGAGGGTTTTAGAAGTTTGTGTGTTAGGAAACAGGGACAAAGACCAAATGTATTTCACCACATGCAGAGAGATTACAGCCAGGAGTGTTACATGAAATGGGTGGTCTCCAAGAGGGACACAGCCTTGCTTGTTACAGAGCTGAAGACCAAACCACTGACACTCACTGAAAGTGTGTGCTTATAATATGCTTGGCACTTGGTGTCCTCACACCGTCACCTGGTAAGTGCGTCCGTTCCATTCTGGAGCTGAGAAAGGAGGCAGCTGAGGTCAGCAGCTCACTCAAAGTCACATAACAGGTGAGGGGCAGAGTCAGGCCTTACTCTGATGGCCACACCAAGCTGCTCTGGGCCTACTTCTAGGCCTGAGCTCTAGACGCTCCCTGGACTGCTCATGTCCAGCCTGTGGGCACCAACCGCCAACTGACACCCTCTTGGGACACCCAAGGTGCCTGTGATGTCAAGTGCAGCAAGGTGAGGCCCAGCAGGCAGGAACTGCGTAGTATGAATGCCATTTTCTGACAACACACATGCAGATTTCCACCCTTTCTCAAGAAATGACATAACCAGGGCTGGGGATTTGGCGCAGTGGTTCCGCTGACTGCCTTGCAAGTGCAAGGACCTGAGTTCGATCCCTGGTACCAAAAA